TTTTTTTTTTTTTAATTTACTCTCAACTGGCTTTTGAGCTGAGATATGAAAGATGAGATTCAAACAGCAATGTGAGGAAGCTGGAATGAGGGCAGAGAGCATTCCAGGCAGAGAGAAGCACAGGTGCCAGGGCCAGGGGCTGGGCATGCTGGGAAAATGGAAAAAGTTCAATGTGACCGGAGCACAGTGAGGGATGGAGAGAGAAGGTTGGCAGGGAGGTAGGGGCCTTCCAGGCCCTCAGAAGGAGTTTGGATTTCAGTGTGAAGATTGTTGAGAAATCACGAAGGAGTTTTTTGTTGTTGTTTTGCGACAAGGGCTCGCTCTGTTGCCCAGACTGAAGTTCAGTGGGGCGATCGTGGCTCACTGCAGCCTCAATCTCCTGGGTTGAAGCAATCCTGCCTCCACCTTCTGGGTAGCTGGAACTACAGATACACATCAACACACCTGGCTAATTTTAAAATTTTTTGTAGAGACAGAGTTTCTACTATATTGCTCAGGTTGGTCTTATACTTCTTAGCTCATGCAATCCTCCTGCCTTAGCCTCACATACTGCTGGGATTACAGGCATGAGCCACTGCGCCCAGCCCATGAAGAGTTCTTTTTTTTGGCAGGGGGTCAGGGGACAGAATCTTGCTCTGTCAGCCAGGCCAGAGCGCACAATCTTGGCTCACTGCAATCTCCATCTCCTCGGCTCAAGCAATTCTCCTGCTTTAGCCTCCCAAGTAGCTGGGATAACAGGCATGTGCCACCACGCCCGGCTAATTTTTGTATTTTTAGTAGAGATGGGGTTTTTACCATGCTGACCAGGCTGTTCTTGAACTCCTGACCTCAGGTAATCTGCTTGCCTTGGCCTCCCAAAGTACTGGAATTACAGGCGTGAGCCACCACTCCCAGCTGGTGAACAGTTCTTAAGAAAGGAGAAGCTATATGAGCCAGGCAGAGTGGCACATGCCGGTAGTCCCAGCTACTTGGGATGCTGAGATCGGAGGATATCTTGAGTGTAGGAGTTTGAGGCTGCAGTGAACTATGATCACATCACTGCACTCTAGCCTGGGCAACAGAACGAGACCCTGTCTCAAAAAAAAGAAAGAGAGTGTATTTCAAAGGCAGGACTACCATGATTTGGTGATGTGTTGGAGATGGGATGGAGGAAAGAGAAGACTCCAGGTGGATTTGATTTCTTAGCATGGGTTCATTAGGTGGATGTGGGTGTCATTCATTGACATGAGAGGCCTGAGTCAGAGCAGAAACCAAGAGCTGCGTCTTGGACACACAGAGATAGGTAATCGGTTATTCAAATCTGGAGGCCGGGCGCAGTGGCTCACACCTGTCGTCCCCCAACACATTGGAAGGCCGAGGCAGGTGGATCATCTGAGGTCAGGAGTTCGAGACCAGCCTGGCCAACATGGTGGAATCCTGTTTCTACCAAAAATACAAAAATTAGCTGGACATGGTGGTGCACACCTGTAATCCCAGCTACTTGGGAGGCTGAGGCAGGAGGATCAGCTGAACCCAGAAGGCAGAGGCTGCAGTGAGCTGAGATTGCACCACTGCATTCCAACCTGGGCAAGAGAGCAAGGCCTTGTCTCAAAAACAAACAAATCTTGGGCTCCCAGGGTATTACATGAGAAAGCCAACTCAGCATTAAGCCATTTACTGGGTCTGCCTGACTCTTGCACCCCCACCTTCTACCTTGCCCAGAGGTCAATGCCTCACTTCTTCCTCCTCCTGCCGTGAGTTTGTTTCACTGAATTAACAGCTGCTGGGTCTCACCTGTTCTCTGCTTTGTCCCCCAGGCACAAGCAAACAGGACCTGACCTCCTTCGACATGGAGCTGTCCTCCAGTGGCATTAGTGCTGACCTCAGCAGGGGCCATGCAGTCGTGGGGGCAGTAGGAGCCCAGGACTGGGCTGGGGGATTCCTCGACCTGAAGGCAGGCCTACAGGATCACACATTTATTGGGAATGAACCATTGACACCAGAAGTGAGGGCGGGCTATTTGGGTGAGTATTTCTCTTTTCTGCTGGGTTCTTCTGGTTTTAGGGGTCAGATGGTTACTTAGTCTGGCTTTCAGAAGAATAATGAAAGCAGTTAAGCAACCAGCATGAACAAACTCAGAGTTTAAATATGGTTATAACATTCATAATTAATTATCTGTATTTTCTGATGCTTTGACATCTTGGGACCGTGCTAATCCTGAAGAAGCTACCCGTCCCGGGCTGGCAAATTCCTAGAGACAGTGAACAACTTGCCTGCAAATATGCCTTGTAGCTAGTCATGGTGGCTCATGCCTGTAACCCCAGCACTTTGGGAAGCTGAGGCAGGTGGATTGCCTGAGGTCAGGAGTTTGAGACCAGCCTGGCCAACATGGTGAAATGCTGTCTCTACTAAAAATACAAAAATTAGCCAGGTGTGGTGGTGCACGCCTGTAGTCTAAGCTACTCTGGAGGCTGAGGCAGGAGCATCGCTTGAACCCAGGAGGCGGAGCTTGCGATGAGCCGAGATTGCGCCGCTGCTCTCTAGCCTGGGCAACAGAGCAAGACTCTGTCCCAAAAAACAGGGCCAGATGCAGTGGCTCACACCTGTAATTCCAGCATTTTGGGAGGCCAAGGCGGGTGAATCACCGGAGGTCAGGAGTTCGAGACCAGACTGGCCAATGTGGCGAAACCTCATCTCTATTAAAAATACAAAAATTAGCCAGGTGTGATGGTGGGTGCCTTTAATCCCAGCTACTCAGGAGGCTGAGGCAGGAAAATTGTTTGAACCTTGGAGATGGAGGTTGTAGTGAGCCAAGGATCACACCACTGCACTCCAGCTTGGGTGACAAAGCAAGACTCAGTCTCAAAAAAAAAAAAAAAATGCCTTTTATATGCAAACCAGCCAATTCTGAGCCCATATCCCCAGCCATCTCCTTTGTCTAATCCTTACACACCAAGCCAATATTTTCTCTGCCCTAAATCAGCCCAGGGTCAGGCACCAATCAACCAGAGGCCACTGCTATAGCCCCAAGCCAGCCAAAATAATTCAAACTGTGCAATCCTAAACTTGCTTGAACTTGCCAACCTAGCTTGCCACCCTTCCTTGTGGAAACCACAAGAAGAGCTCTGGGCCATGCTCTTTCCTGGCTCCTCCTGACTCTCCACTAATCTGGTGTTTCCCCGTCTGGCCCTTCGTGGCCTGCAGTGCCTCCTGCCTCCAGGAACTGTGAGTAGT